TTGGGGAGATGGAAGAGGTCCTGGAGGAATTCACAAACTGAGAAGGCAAAGGGTTTTGAGGGCATAGGAGAGCCCTGCTGGCTTCGAGGATCACAGATATGTAAAGGCATCAGCCTGAATGACTGTGTAACTTCCTCCAGCTGGATTCCTCACCCAGTTGTGGAACCTGCGGGAGGTGAATTGACAACCTAGGTTCAGAGATTCATACTGTGCTGTTGACCAATCAAGAGAGAGGCAGAGGCTGGGATTATAAAAGAACAAGCCTGAGGATGCATGTGTATGAGAAAAGGGGTATGTTGAAGAGCTAGAGGCTTGGGAAGCGGCTGCTGGTCCTGCAGCGTGAGAGAGTGAGTTGGGTGGAGGAGCTTGAGGCAGAGGATGAGAGTCATGGTGTTTCATTTCCTAGGTGGAGCAGCAGTAAGTCATGCAAGAGGCAGGTGTGGCTGTGCCAGTGGGTGGTTGCTGAGAGTATCACTGGAGGCTGTGGGACTCATCTGAGCTCCCGATACTACAAGGAGAGGTAGGGTAGAGTGGTGGGGATGGTCCATCAGCTTGCTGAAAGCCACGTGGGGACCCAGGGACTTGCATTTAGGTCCCTCTAACTCAGGTCTGTGTGTGTAAAACCTAGTTTCTTACCTGCCAAATGCTCCAGTAACAGTGCCAACCTGTTAGGTGGTATGGCATTTGAGGAGATGATGTTTGTGAAGTGCTGAGCCCAGGGCCTACCCCATCACCAGCCTCTGAGAAAGAACAGTCTGGAAATTGGTGATTGCCAATACCATCAGTGACCGGCAGAGCAACAAATTACAGCTCAGACAGAGGAAAGGAAGGGGAGTAAAGCAGTTTGTGAAAGCATGTTCCAAGGGAGAATAGGGCCAGTCGAGAGGAACTATGGCACACTTTCTTCCCGGCTTGGGCCTTTTATCCCTGAAGCTTAAGGGTGTTGACTGGTATGTGGCAGTTGACACTCATGATCGGTGTTGGTGATTGGCATCTGGGAGCTGCATACCTTTGGACTCTGCCCACGTGGCTATAAACTAGACTTCCCTGGTTTGATTGAGTTGTCATTTTCTCAGGAGACTAACTGCAAGTTAGCTTGTGCAAAGTGGGAGGTCTCAAGTGACCCAGGCCGGAGAGCAGGGACAGGTTGTGCAACCCCTCCCCAGCTGCTCCTACCTAATTCTTCGCCTGACAGTATTATGAAGACACAGGCTTTCCCTCAAGGAATTCACAACACAGGAAGACAGTGCCAAGTTGAAAGATAGGTAAGAGGACATTCAGGAATGGTTTCCTTCATGGAAAGAGGAAAGACTATTTTTGGAAGCAAATGCAATTGTGTATGCATTTCAGCACTGCCATTTACTAAATGTATGAATTGAACAGAATCATTTAATCATAGAGGTTGATGACCATGCTGTGTTGTAACATTCTCACTTGTCCCAATGTGGGAAGTATCTACTACGTACCAGACACTGTTCTAGAGACTGGAGATAAAGAGATTTAAAGGAGCCCATCTCTGTGGGAGTTCTCAAAGAACTCCTAGGGTAGCTTGGGAGACTACAACTGGGAAGGCTAAGTGGTCTGGCAAAGATCAGGGCAAGGCAGCTGGTCAATCCTGCTTCAGTTTGCCTTGAGGAAATTATCAACTCCAAACCTTCTTTTTTCTTTTCTTTTTAAAGATTTACTTATTTTTCTTAGAAAGTCAAATTTACAGAGAGAAGGAGAGACAAAGATTTTCCACCCTCTGGTTCATTTCCCAAGTGGCTGCAATGGTGGCCGGAGCTGCGCTGATCTGAAGCCAGGAGCCTGGAGCTTCTTCTGGGTCTACCACGCTGGTGCAGGGTCCCAAGGACTTGGGTCATTCTCAACTGCTATCCTTGTCCACAAGCAGAGAGCTGGATGGGAAGTGGAGCAGCTGGGACATGGACCAGCGCCCGTATGGGATCCTGGTGCATGCAAGATAGGATTTTAGCCACTAGGTTGTCGTACCAGGTCCAACACCTTTTCCAAGAACTTACTGCACAGTTGCCATTTTTAACAGTGGGGTTTTAGAAACTCTTTTGGAAAAAAAATTGTTATTCAGGTCCTTTGAACTCCTGTGGACAGAATAATGTACATGAGCACATTTCCAAAGAGTGGGATTGCACGGTGAGGACAAGCGTTCGGTGCAGCGGTTAAGGCCCCCGGGGTCCCTGGGTTTCATATCCCAGTGCCCGAGAGCTAGTCAGTCCGGGCTCTTTCACTTTAGATCTGGTTTCCTGCTAACGTGCACCTGCAGAGGAAGCCATGATGGTTCAAGTGCCTGGGTTCCTGCCACCCATGTGAGAACCCTGGGTGGGGTCCCAGGACCGTGGCTTAAGCCTGGCCCAATCCCAGCTGCTGCAGGCTTTTGAGAAATAAACTAGTGGATGGAAGGTTTTGCTCTGTCTCTGCCCTTCAAATACTTGAGAAAGAAAAACAACCCAGTAAAGATGACCTTAAAATGCACACATTGAACAGTAGGGCAAAATGTGTTAATCAGACTATGGTGAGACCATCTGAAGGTGTTGAATGGAAAGCAACAAAGAATAAACTAGAAACTAGTTTTTACAATGAGTAGACTTGTGAGATTTTACAGAGTAGTGATAAGTTCTTCATAATTACACCTGAAACTCAACATTAACAAGATCTGCATAATACCACTATATTTATTTATTTATTTATTTGAAAGGAAGTTAGAGTGGAGAATGGGGAGAGAGATTTCCCTTCCACTGGTTCATGCCTCAAATGGCCCCGACAGCCTCTGCTGGGCAAGGCTGAAGCCAGAAGCTTCATCTAGATGGAGCTTCTACATGGGTGACAGGAACCCAAGGACTTGGGACATTTTATGCTTTTCCCAGGTCATTAGCAGACACCTGTATCAAAGTGGAGAAGTTGGGAATATGAACCAGTACTCCTATGGGACGCTGGCTTTGCAGGCAGCAGCTTAACCCACTATGGCCACAGTGCCCCATATTTGTTGATTTGTTTTGAGCACCAAGGTTCAGTGGAGGGACTTAACTTCCTAGTTCTTTTTCTCAGTTTCCTCTCTGTATCTGAGAAGAGAGAAAGCAGGACTTCCCTGGAGTCTTGCAGAAGCCTGCGCAAGCCCTACCTCGTGCTGCCTCGTGCCGCCTGCGGCCGCCTCCCTCCTTTCCCAGGCTGTGGAAGCACTCCCCAGCTGCAGGCTGGAACTGGCATGGCAGGCCTTTCCCTCTCACCTGGCACAGGAAGGTTTCCAGGATAAGATCAACCCTAGTCTCAGGCTCCCTTCTGGAAGGATCCTCATTCTTTCCCTGCAACGCAGATGACCACGGAGAGATAACGGAGACCACAGGTCTAAAGGGAAAGGTGCCCACAGGGGTTTTCCCTGCCTGGCTCTAGGGCGGTGCCTGTCATTTTCCTGCAATCCCACTATTTCCAGAATAATTTAGTTTTGGAACTTTACAGAAAGTCCTCACCTCCTTCCTAGTAAATTCCCCCTCTTCACTCAGCCCCTTAGAGACTTTTTCCTCTCTAAAGTTTCAGCTGCAATTTCAGCACAGTGTTTCCTTAGTGTTTCCAGGGAGATTTGCTTCTGTTGAAAAAGCTATTACTTAAGCTAGCATATGGACACGTCATGCAATAACAAATTTTACTGAGTTATAGACAGGTACTAAAAAATTTTTTTAAAATGTATTTGAAAGGTAGAAAGTGAGAGATTTTTCCTGTCCTCTGGCCCATTCCCTAAATAACTGCAACAGGCGGGACTGGGCTGGGCTACAGCTGGAAACCAGGAGCCAGCAACCCAATCTAGGTCTCCCACATGGTCAGCAGGCAACCAAGTACATGAACCCCCATGTACTGCCTGTGGGGAGACACAGCCCCTGGACCCGCACATGGCATGTGGGTGCACCAACCACAAGGTCAAATGCCCACTCCACCGAGCAGCAGCCATTACACACTAACTGCCCCTTTGCCCTTCTGCCTGCCCCTGGCAGCTATTCGTCTAATCGCTTGAGTGAACTGGACTACCCTAGGCACCCCAGAGAGTGGAATCATCGACCTGTTGTGTCTGTCCTAGTCCACTTCACAGAACGTCTTCAGGCTTCATCCACGCAGCCTCACTGTGCCAGGATTTCTTTACTTTTTGGGGGGAGGAAGGAGGTACAAGGATTTCTTTACTTTTAAAGGCATTTTAAAACACCTTTGGGACAATACTGCTCGTATTCAAGGTCAGTCGACAAGATTGTTGGTACAATTAGACGACCTGACGGCACTCTGTACTTACTCATCCATAAAATGGTTCTTTATTTTACACTAGCATTTAAAAATGATTTCAAAAAGGGAGGGGGAGAGAGACCGATTTCCATTCCCGCATTCCCTCCTCAGCTGCCTGTAACACCCTCTGTCTCTCAGTCTGTGGCAGGAACCCGGGTTTTGGGGCAGCCCGTTTCCTCTGTGCATGTGCGGGAAGCTAGAATTAGTAGAAGCCGGCAGCACTAGAATCTGCCCAGACATTTCAGCATCAGCTGTAGGGGTCTCATCCGCTACAGCAAATGCCTGCCCCAGGAGCGACTTTTAACTTTGCCTTGAAAGACAAGTTCAGCGCACAAGGTCGGGGGATGGGGGTGGGGAGGAAGCCAGGGGCTCCAACGCCAAGCTTGGCTGGCAGGAAACGGGGGTCCCCAACACCACCGATGCAGTGTTTCTCTTCAGGTGAGAGACCAACCCCTCCACAGCCTACTCGCCGCGATGGTTAAGGAAGCTGTAGAAATAGAGGGCCTTGACAACAGCCCCAACGGCTGACAAGTTCCAGGGAGCGACGCACGCTGGGAACTTTCCCGCCAGAGCCCGCTGGGCCAGCGCTCCGCCTGCGCCGTCCTCGCAGAGACTACAAGTCCCGTCAGGCAGCGGGGCGCGCCCCGAGCTCGCGCCGGCCCCGCCCTCCCCGACACAGGCCCCGCCCCGCCCCGCCCCGCCCCTCCTCCCTCGGGCCGTCCTCCCCCCCCACCTCCCACCCCACACGCCTCCTCTCCCGCCGGGTCAGCCCCGAAGAGTTGCCCGGTGGCCGCGGCAGACGGAAGCCGAGCGAGAGCTTCGGCGGCGGCGGCAAGAATGGGAGACTCCAAAGTGAAAGTGGCGGTGCGGATCCGGCCCATGAACCGACGAGGTGAGCGCGGACGAGCCCGCCGGGCCGCGCGGCGGAGGCGGCAGGTGCCTGGCGCGCCGGTCCCTCGGCCGCTGTGGGGGGTCCGGAGTGGCTGCGGGGCACCCCGAAGCCTCGCACCCACGTCCTTCCCTCCCCGGGCCCCGGCCGGCCCGTCCTGGGGTGCCGCGGGGCCCCACCGCCGAGCCGCCAGCCGAGCCGCCGCTGCCCCTTCCGCCGGCCGCCCCGCCTGGCGCCCTTTGGCCCTCGGCGTCTCCCGGGAGGGCGCCCCCCACGGGGTTCCTCGTCCCCACGGGGATGGCGCCCCGTCTTGCCCCGGTGCCCTCTGCCTCAGCTCGTCCCAGCCAGCTGTCACCATGGCCACGCTCACCCCCCCACACACTGCGTGCCCCAGGACCCCGAGTCGCCCCAACTCCGGCCCCACACTTGTGTGACCCGCGGCTCTCAAGTGTTCCTTTTCCTTCGCCTTGTTTTCTTCCACTCCGCCTCTCCCGCCTCCTCCCCGCTCTGTATTGCTTTAACCTGGACTGTCTTAAAGGAGTTGGGAAGTAAATACTGTGCTTTGATTGAGATCAGGTGAAAGAAGATGCCTGTTAGTTTTTTATTTTTTTCTCTTGGGGTTTGGACGGTTGAGAAACTTTTGTTTTTGCTTGGAGTCATATTCGTCATCTTTCAACAATAAATAGTCAAGGTGCCAAGATTCTTGTGAAACTGTATCTCTCAGACATTCTCTGGTGTGTGTAGGGAGGGTAGGGAAGGCAGATAAGCCGGGGACATTTAAATCATCTTTAGACGGGTCGAGGGGACAGGGCTGGGTCTTGGTTTGGATACTTAGCTAGAGGCACGACTGGGCAAGTTACTCTAAATGAGATAATACGTTAGGAGACACTTGATATACAAGGTCGTGCTCCTGGGAGTCGTTGTTGGGAGTCCGGGAGATGGCTTTGTCGTGGGTCAGAATCGTCCGCTAGTACTGGAGTCCTTTCTGAAGATCGCCAGCTTGCCTTAAATTTGCAACTTCTTGGTTCAAAGTCAAGTGTTAACTTTATGTAGACATGACAGGCTTTGCCTGTCTTTGTTGAGATAGACAAGGCAGCCCATTGACATAGTTGTGCTGGGCTGTCCCTGTTGGAAGTTGGTCACTCCCTTGGAGTTGCTTCTTGGTTTGTGCACCAGTTCCTGCTAAGAGTTGCTTAAGGCTGTCAGGTGAGTTTTTTCTAAGCACTTAATGAACTTCTCAGTCTGCCGGAGATTGGAGTCTTGGTTAATTTACCTTCACTACCTCCATGCTCTGGTGAAATGAAGAAACTTAAATGGAACCCCCTGGGGAGTTTTCAGATGCTCTAATTTTGAAGTTTTCAGCAGGCATCTTAGCTCACTTCATATCTAGAAGAAAAAAACAAGCAAATAAAAACAACATGTCTCGAAATTGGTTCTAAAAGGATAGTTTCAGCGCATTCTTAAAATTTTCTTTTAACAAATGTGGAAATATCAGCGCACAAGAGGCAGCTGACCAACCAGGGCAGGAGCCCCCTCCACCTCTCTTTTTTCCGGTCAGTTTCACTTTTTCGAGGGGAATTACCTGCAAGTTGCAGCTGCTGAGTGGCAACACTTGTCACTGTGGCAGGTGAGAGGTGGGCAGAGTAGTGTTTTAGCTGCGGAGTGGCAGTTTGCTGCTTTCCTCGCGTTCCACTGTCATCTGCTCCGGAGCTCTTCACTTCTCTCAGCACTCTCCCTCACCTGGGCCTCACACACCTGGACATGCATGAAGGTTTCTTTTTTTTTTTTTTTTCAGCGATTGAACACAGATCATTAAAATTGGCTCTTCCATCTGATCTAGAAATAGTTGTTGATGTAAGTCCGAGTGATACAAACAAGTGACACGCTCAAGCCAGTGACTTTTCAGTTAGGATGTCTGTAGAGTTTGCACCGAGAAAGTCTAAAACAAAATCATTTTCCTTTCTAACTCTATTGAAAAGAATCTGTTACATTGAAGAGTTGTTGCTTCTGGGGAAATAAATACAAAGTTGTAGTGAGTCATTACAGCATGCAGTGAACCACTTTGCTAGTGGTTTCTGCCATGGCCTGGAAGTGTCAGAAGCAGGCTATGAGCGTGGGGTACTCTGAGGTACCCTGAGGATGGCATTGCTTGGTGGAGATGCTGGAATTTGGAACCACAACAGCTGTGTTTTGAGAAAAGTCTGAAATTTCCCAGAAACCTTTGCGGTACCCCTACGTTTTTCACAGGATTTGGATTCTGATCCTATTTAGGGTTGCGTCTTCAGGTGGTTGATTGGTTTCTTGTTTACCATTTATCACAAAAGTAAGAGTGCATCAGTCTGTTTGCCAAACTGCACTTATGTTTTGGAAATTAATTTCTTTGAACATTAATGAAAGCGTTAGGCCCTAATTCAGAAATAGTTAAGACCGATACTGGCTCTTCTGTCGGGAATGTTTTGCTAGGTAGATATTTTGACATACCTATAAGGCAGACAATGCAACGGAAAAAAATCCCACATCTGTCTTCCCCATGGCTTTTCTTATTTCCGTTCCAGTTTGTGTGGACATGCATGTGTGATTTCACCTGTTTTAACTGTTACACCTTTTTATTTCCTTTGGTTTGTCTGCATCTGGCTAACCAGCCGGAGGAGTAAAAGCCTTTTTTGTCACAAGATCCTGGGCATTGTATTTGCAGATACTGTGTTTTCCTGTTGTTGGTGCGGCTCAGCAGGCTGCTGTTGCCGCCACGCGTTCTGTCCTGGACAGAACACTTCCCATGCATTATTAATCCGTGCCATCATTAATTGAGTTGAAAGTTTTACAAGCATCATTGATGCAAGTAGATAGATCAGTGACACTCTTTTTCAGGAATTTAAAGTTCTATAACTTTCGGTGATTTAGAAGATATGTTCTAGGCAAGTGGGCATTTTTATGGAATACCTACCAGCTGTCAGCTTGATAGTATGCAGGGTTTACTATCTTTCCTCAAGGGACTTCCCATGTTTAAATGTGCTTAGATTAACTGAAGAATAATGGATCTGTATACAAAGTATTTGGGAAAATACCTTTGTTGTCTACCTGGCCTAAAGGGATGGAACCGGAAAATGACACCAGAAGTTGTATTAGTAAGAAACAGCAAATAGGTTATGTCATACATTAGGAAGTATAGATCATAAATTTATCCCATCAGGCATTTCTCAATAGTGTAGTCTGCATTTTATAGTACCTTGGTGCAATGAAAGACATGAAGATTTATGCAGTAAGGTGAGAGACAGTAAATTGTGGTCTAGCATGTCAGTGGAGAGACTATTATATAGCCATTAAAAATGGTGACTGTTACCCTCATCTGTTCACAAAGATGACTTTATGACATTAGTGGAAAAAAGATGATGAAATTGAAGGTATGACTGTGATGGACTCTGCTAGTGTGATGACTGGTGAAAATGTATGCAGAGTAATGTAAAAATATTAATTATGGGCTCAGTGGGAGAATTTTATTTCCTAACCACCTTCTTCATGTTGCCTGGTGTTATCTTCCACAGCTTTTCATAGTTGGCTGTGTGCTTTGTGCTCATGAGGAAATGCTCTTCATGTGAAAAGATAAGATTAAGAGGTAAACAAGTCCAGATGACTACTGGTTATGAAGTGCCAGCTGAGTGACGGGAAGTGCAGCAGTGCGGAGAGAGGTACCTGCAGGCCAGGCGATTAGCATGGAAGGAGTCTTCCGGTCTGAATGGATTGGTTGGTTGTGCGAGGGAGGGAGAGAAAGCCTTGCTCCGAGGAGGAGGAAGTACATCCTGAGAGCAAAGACCCGGAGATAGGAACAAGCAAGGCAGGTTTAGGTATGAGACCCTCTGAAAGAATTGTTCTTGGAGGTTGAGAAGTATGGGATGGAAAAGGTCAAGGCAAGTTACAGGGTCCCTTCAACGCTAGCTAGGCCAGAAGTCTGGACACAGTGTGGTTCTGTGTGGAGCTTCTGGGAGGCCTTGGATACAGATGTGAAGGAGACAGGACTGGAAACCTAGGTCAGTGGCAGATTCCTGGCTGCTCAGAGTCAAGGCCACTGCAGAGAGGCTGGGTCAGGGCAAAAGGGAACCCAGGGCAGGAAAAGGACATGATCCTCAGGGCCTGAAGGGGCTGGGCAGACGAGCTGGGTGGACCTGAGGCCACCGATGGCTCCACAGCCTTCTCAGAAGTCCCTGGCAGATGTGGCGCTCAGGGTGACTGTGGGTGGACATTCCTGACACTGTTTGCTGAAACAGAAGATGCTTTTTTCTCTAGCGTCTGCATGATGGGTCAGGGGCAGGGAGACTCATTTGTTGCAGCGCTGTTTGGTTTCTATGGCTAGTCCGGTGGCTGGAGTTCAGATTCACACCCGAAGGGCCAGAGACATGCATTCATGAGAAAATACGGTTGTGTGGAACTGATACTAACTTTTTACCTTCTCATCCCCATAAACCGATTGCTAAGGTCTAACTACTTCACTTGTTGAGGTTTGAAGGCGGGAGAAGCTATTGACAGCTATTACTTAAGGAGAAATTGTGTTGTTTAATTGAATGGAAATGGATTTATTGATCTCCATGCCTACTGATTGGATTCCCTTGTGTTCATCAAAGCATGCTTGCTCAAGAAAGACTGGGCAGAGGTGAGCAGCGGGCTCCCACCCTGGGGGCGAACATGTCCCTGCTTCCTGGGACACAGGTGCACCTTCTCTCAAGCTGGAGGAGATCGCTTTTCAAGATGGCGCTTGTTTGTGCATCCAGCTTGCTAATGTTGACTATAGGGGAAAAAAAATCACTGCTGAGTGCTTCTGGTATGTTATTCTTCAAAGTAAACTTTTGAAAGATAGTTGTAGAATTCCAGTTTCATAGAATCTGCAAGAGGTGGTGGTCCCAGACTTGCCCAACCAGGATGTTTCTGGAACCTGAAACTCATCTGCGCTTTCACTAACGTGTTGGGATCTAGTCATCCTCAAGATGCTGCAGTGTGTGACTTCCAGGGCTTCCATTTCAGATTTAACTTGAAGCGTGCTGTGATCTGAAGGAACTTAACAGTGTTGTTGATAATGAGACACACAGGTGTAAATCCATCATCAGACCAGGTGTACGTGGTGACAGTGAACTGTGAACTGCAGAAATGGGGCTGGCGGTGCAAGCATTCAGTGTAGCAGTTAAGCCACAGCTTGTGTCATTTGCACCCCATAGCTGCATAGCTGGTTTCGTGTCCTAGCTCCCTTAGTCATTCCAGCTTCCTGCTAGTAGGTACTCTGGGAGGCAACAGATGATGGCACAAGTACTCGGGTCCCTGCCGCCCTTGTGGGAGAATGGGATTGGATTTTTAGTTCCTCGCTTTAGCCTGTCTCAGTCCTGGCTGGTGTGTTTGGGCAGTGAACCAGTGAATGGAAGATGCATCTCTGCCTGTGTGTCTACCTATCTTTCAAGTGAAACTTTAACAAAGAGGAAAAGTAGGAGTGAGATTTGGGGATGACACAACCAACAGCCTGAGCAGCTGCCCTGGTGTCCACACAGGGTCACCCTGTGTGGCAGGCAGGAGTCCAGATGGATGCCACACCTACGCTGTGGTTTTGTGTCACATCTGAGCAACGCTGAGCTCAGTCAGTGCACCGTGGAGTTTCTGAGCTGAATGACAAGGTTGGGCTGGTGTCAATAACAGATCAGAGTGGGTCTGAGGGTGGAAGTGTGGGGACTGAAGAGTTCTGTTCTTGGGCCGTTCCATAGTCTTTAGTTTGTGCTTATCACGTGCTGCCCTCAGTGCCTACAAGTAACAACAAGACACTGTGTGCCTGGAAGGAGTGCGCAGAGTTGTTGAGTGCAGCCCGGAAGGCAGTTTTGCATAGGCATCTGCAGCGGAGGGATTTGAGATGCCTAGAGAGTGATGAGTCATTACTGCAGGTGTGAGATAGAACTTCAGATTCAGATGTGTGTGAAGGAGGAGGTAACAAAGGCCAAGGGGAGAGAGAGGGATAAGAAGGATCAGGTGGAAGTGATGTTTGTTAACGCAGGGAGGAAGACTATCAAAGAAGGAAAGGCAGACTGGTTAACGCTGTGCGCGTGTGTTTGGCAGCATGATGGTCAGCGGTAACTTGCAGAATCATTTGAGTGAATTAGTATAGGGGTGATGGCTGTGGCTAAGAAGGATGAGGGCTTGCCAGGGTGGGGCAATGTGTCTCATGACTGTCCCTTCAGAAGGTGCATATGGAAGGGCAGGATGAGGAGGAGTGAGGTCTAGAGGCCTGGGGCTCCTCTTGGATCTGGGAGATGCAGAAGCCCTGTGACATAGAAAGTGGGCCAGTGAATGGGGCAGTTTTTGAAACCCGGGGGAAGATAATTGTACAGTTGGCAGGCTCTGGAGGACTTCATTGGTTTGCTGAGGTCGATTGGGAGGTAGGTGGAAGTAAGAAAAGTTGGGTGATCTGGGATTTTCCAAGTAATGAATGCTTAGAAAGGTGACGGAAGGACTCTAAACATGTTTTATACCTACTGATGGTAGTGGGGCTGTTCCTCCCACATTTTTTTTTTCTTTCTTAGGTATAATTCTTATTACATTCAGTAGTTTTTAGGGTTTTTTAAAAAGACTTATGTATTTTTATTGGAAAGTCAGATACACAGAGAGGGGGGAGAGACAGAGAGGAAGATCTTCCATCTGATGGTTCACTCCCCAGGTGGCTGCAATGGCTGGTGCTGCACTGATCTGAAGCCAGGAGCTAGGAGCTTCTTCTGGGTCTCCCATGCGGATTTAGGGTCCCATGGCTTTGAGCCGTCCTCAACTGCTTTCCCAGGCCACAAGCAGGGAGCTGGATGGGAAGTAGAGCAGCCAGAACTAGAACTGGCGCCCATAGGGGATCCCAGCGTGTGTAAGGCAACAACCCTAATCATTAGGCTGTCATGCGAGGCC